AGAAAGTGGCATGCCACTGCAGCTGCGGACACATTGAATTCGCGCTTGACAAGGACCAGTCCTCCGAAGGGCAGTGTACGGTTTTTCTCGGATTTTTCAGCTGGTATTCATGTTGGCAGAGCAATTACGTTACCCATTCAATGGTTGGATGCAACTACTGTTTCAAACTGATCAACTCATCAACTCAACTTTCCCAGTCCAAAGCGATCCCTCGACGGGACATGTCATGGAGACGAATTCGGGTGGTACTTCAATATAAAAGACATATTACCTGCTCCGTAGAGGCCATGTAATCCGTTTAACGATCTCAAATATAGTTCTACTTTCGTAGCTCCAGCGCATGTGACGACGGCGTCACAAACCAAGGATGCTCCAGTAGGCTAGCTGACGGGCCTCACCCATCTGGGAACGAATGTTGCCAGCTTTCATTGGGACTGATCTGTCCTCTATCTCGTCTTCCTGTACTCTCATCCTTTGCCGCTGGTCTCTCGCCCTCGCAGCATCTTGCAGCAGTGATGGCGTCTCGCTTTTTAGGTTCCTCGTATAATCCTGGAGTCTTACGAAAGCGCGTCTTTGGTTTTGAACACTATTTTCTCCGCATATGAGTCAATCAGCACCTGGAAAACAAATCCGCAATCCAAAGCTCACTCAATGTAGTTGCGAAATGTGTTCTGAACAGTGATCATCTATCGCTAAATCGTAGTATTTCACGTCCGAGAGCGTTTACCACAGGTTATGACCACATATAGGTCTTACTCCGTCCTAAGAAGGGCACATTATTCATTACTACGTAGTGAGTCTCATTGCTACCGTAATCGGCACAAAATCTGGGTAACTGTCCTCTCACAAACACTAGTTCTAAGTTTAGAGTCCGATGAGCCGCTCTGTCTCCTTCATCGTCGCCCCTTCTTTCTTGTTAAGCTTAGAAGGACAGGCGTACCAACGGAGAATGCACAGCGGTTCTGTCTTCGTCGAAATGCCTGTACACCCCATATCCTACGAGTGGGGAGGGTGTGGCTGTGTACTTCTTGGAATGGACTGTGGCAGCGAGTTCGCTTTTGGTAGACTAGTGCCCTGTGTTGAGGTAGTTCATCTTCTCGCATCTTCACGAGATTCAGCTTGAAACCATTTTCTTCGCCCAACACAAACACAGTATAGCAGTGCTCTCAAATAGTAATACTACACAAAAAAAGCATCTTACAGTTCACATTATGGGTACGCAGTCATGCCCTCCCCACCTACGTGATGTGGAGTAAAGATATGCCTCTTCACAGCAGAAGAGTTATCAAGAATATCATGTATTGTATTGTTATTCATTTGAGTAGCTATGATAAAGTGCCGCAAGTGTTTCCCCAATTGTTAGTTAGAGTGAAGAAGAGCGGTGGCCGATGACGGACAACAATTCAAGTATTATCCAGCTCGCAGCGGGAAAGCTTATCGACAAGTACACGGTTGTGAAGAAGCTTGGCGAAGGCAGTTTTGGAGCTGTATATAAGGTATGGCCAATCCCTTTCTTTGGAAAATTTCGCCTGTTAAGTCTAATTTCTTCAGGTGGAAGGACCGAGTGGGAAGCAGTACGCGCTCAAAGCTGAATCTGTCAACGAGAAAATACCAGTAAGTTACCACTGTTTTAGACCTGATAAAATCACGAATTCCCTTGAGAATGCGAGTGTAGAAGTGCCCTCCGCACGTTGATAAATGGAAAGGTCGCATCTACAGCTGCTTCCGCTGCAGACGCTGGGGCGTGTCAGGAGCAGAGGAGAGGTGTTGGTACGGCGCTAGCCCGTTCTCCACCAATTAGTGAAGCGACAACAATTGGCGCACAGCGGACTCGCGCCACGCCAAATCTAGCCCCCTCAACATACCCCAGCCTCTACAACGAATACCCACTATATAGGCTGTAAATCGCAATCAGTCGGAGGCGTTGCGAGGAGGAGGGCGGGATGAAAACGCGTACCCGGCTGTCCTACTCTACCAATGGTGATCGGCTAGCAATCGATCTAGGAATAAAGCAGCCAGTGATATCGCTTTGAACATTCTCTCCCTTGCAGTATGTGGGTCAGGAGATCCGAAATGCGGCAGCGCAACGAAAGCGACGCGCGTTGCGTAAAAGCCCATAGAGTGAAGACTGGTGTGGAAATAGAACATAGTGCCGCGCGCTGGTTTCCTCTCGAGAACTGTTTGAACTGGGAACTCTTGTCCCGCGCCCATTTGTACATGATATCACCCGCTGTAGAAGTGCGTAGCATTCGTCAAGGCACGCCTCGCGTTCGAAAAGTATTGATTTGTGCGGCTCGAATACTAACGACAAAAGCGGAGAAAACCCACCAAAGTGCTTCGTATAGAACCGCACACCTGACCGCTTTGAACGTG